TCCGGCGGGTGCTGTGTTGGAAATTAGTGCTCGCAAGAAATAAGCGAGCATCCTCACACAAATGAAGTAACCGCTCACCGTTATTATTACGAGAGCCTACACCATGTTGGCCGCCCAAGTTTCCAACTTGAGCGTTCAGATCCCCAGCCAGCACTATAGTGTACGAGCTTCTTCTGTGGCGAAGGAGCTCGTTCAGTTGACGATCGAAGTCATCTTTTCCCGAGTCATCGCTACTGTTTGTCGGTGCATAGGCAACGATAACGAATAGACACCTATTAGCCCGGCGCGACTTCGAAGCTTTAAACTAGCCAGCCAATCGGACCGCACACATCCGGCTACTGATTGGAATCCAGTTAACCAGTGCAATTTCAGCCCGGGGACTCAGGGCGATACCAACACCGGCTTGGCTAGTGCTCGAAGCTGCATCGTCATCGGATAGGCGCAATGAGAAAGTGCTGCTGGTGTCACCTGAAGGGAGCGCAGTGTGAGCACAGAGCTCGAGTCTTGCATGCGGGTGTCCGGTAACCAGCAGATATCGATTGCGTGGGTCTCTAATGTTCGGCCAAATGCTGCCTGTTCACCGGTCTGAAGCAATGTGCGAACATTGAGGCATGCCAATCTGAAGGAGGATCGAGGACTCCAAATGGAAGTCGATGAACTGGGTTTGACCGCTTGGTTAGACATGGGTCTGTTGACAGGGCAGGAATGACGCTGCGCGTTCACATGTGAGTTGAAACTAAAGACAAGCAACTATTGAAGCAGGGTGGGGGAGGGCCGAGAATTGGGGGGCCGAAAACAGGAGGGATAAAGGTGAAGCTGGAACGGGACGATGAGGGTGAAAAACGTAAGAGGAGGAATAAGAAGACGAGAAGGCTTGAGCAGTAGCATCCAAACCCCTATTCACCCTGCTCGATGCAGCAGATAGGGCACCATTGATTATCCTCTGCAGTGGCCAGAGCATCGATAAATGGTTTGAAGAGAAATTGATTGTATTGCGTGGGCAGGATACTGTCAGGATGCTCAGGCCTAGACAGGGGAACGGTTAGGGTTCTCAACCAAAGCCTTTGGTTCAAAAACCTGACCCCAAGGCAGCGAGTTTGGCATTGGGCTACAAGGATTCCGTTTTCAGGAATAAGGTGCCACCCTCACTCCAACCCCAACCTGGAGGGCCAAGAGACTGAGTTTGTCTGGCCTCTAACCATTGACCAATCTGGTATGAGTGGCTCTGAAGGTGCAAAAATGCACCACCCAGTATAGCTCAATGGATCACTGAGGCACACAAACCATCGCATCGCGGTAAGGTCCAGCCTCATTGCGATGGTCACTCCGGCCTGCTGCAATCGATCAAGCTCCTGTTCAACAAGTGCTTGGGAAGCATAAGGGACAGGACGCCTGGGTCGAAACACTCGTCTGGCATCCGGAAGCAGAGTAAGTTTTGCCTGCATTTTCTTACAGTGTCCAAGTTCCGACTGGAATACACACGCATACTTCGTTTGAAGCTGTTCAGAGATGCTTTGACCCGGAGGAGTCGGTATGGCTGTATGGTGAACCGTGACATTCCTTTCAGCACAGACACGATTCAGTGGTACATTGAACAAGTTCAGCTTTTCAATCCAATCGATTCCGAGAAGATTGACGTCGGTGCATGAGACTAAGTAGATCGTGCCGCGTAGTTGTAGTTCCTTGAAGCTGACCTCACATTCAATCTCTCCATCCAATCTCAGCGGTTCCCCGGATGCATTCTGAGCCGTCAGAGTTGTGCGCTTGAATGATGGTCTCCAAGCTTCCTCCAAGTGGATCGCGAAATGATTGTGATTTCGGACGCCGTATCTAGTTGCAAGGTGACTGGAATATCATTGACTTTTACTGTTAAATACTTTCTCTTGCCTGCGAATTCCGTGCGAAAAGCAGCGAGAACTACCTTTGTGGCCGGTCCATGAAATTTAGCCCTTTTGAAGTTGACGTTTGTGCGCAATCTCGAGGGAAATGAACGTCTGAAGTTGTGCACAACTCGACAGTGGGTTTCCTTATGACCAAACCGCTTGCACTTGTGAAATTGATGCCCTTTGTAGATACAGTCTCTCACAAAATGCCAAGCGCCACAATTCCAGCATGCGGTCGGGGGCTTCTGAGTTGACCGATTCCGGTTCATCACTTTACCACGGATAGCTGTGCGACAAATCTGGGGTTCTATCCTGTGATCAGCAGTTTCAAGCATTTTTGTGTCGTGCTTCAAATTAATCAGTCGCTGGCATTCGGCTGTAATCTCTTGCAACGTCAAATGTGGTTCTTGTTCGAGTTTGTGGCGAATCCGTGTTCGAATATCGGCATCAGCGTGAGACTGGGGACTGCACACGAAAATAAGACAATTGAATTGATCGGGTGTCATCATACCCAGTTTGAATCGTTCACATTCGCAATTTACGATCCCGGCATGTGTGACAAAATCAATGGCATCGCGTTTGACTAACTTCAAGCAATTGTAGCGAACACTGAACAGAGAGGCCTGCTCAATGAATATCTGCGTCAGCGTTTTTACCGTCTCATCGAAGCTGAAGTCTCTTGCATTCTTCGGCAACACGAAATTTGTGTAACGTTCATGCTCGACTGCACCAAGTTTCCTCAACAACAAACGAACTATTCAGGCATCGTCTTGGTCTGCAAGTTCCACTTGAAAAATATCTTCATACTTTAGGAACCAGGATTCAAATGTCAATCCGTTCAATCCATCGAAAACAAATTCTGTAATTGAAGCAGCAAGGGCGTCCACAGATGGCTGTGCGGTTGTCGTCGGGGATTCGCTTTGGATGTTTAGTTTCTGAGATAACAACTCGATCAACTGTCGTTGAGATTTTTCAAATTGGAGTTGTTTCTGTTGAAGAAGCGTCTGCATTTGCTCGAACGAAATCGACATGATTACCGGAACCTCCGTCGCCAGAAAATCTGTTGTGTCGCCGCTGACGCCTTCACCTCACGACCGCAAGAAGAAGTCCAAAGACGAGCCAGAAAGAGACTTGTATACATGAAATCACAGTTGCTTATATAGTTTGAAGGCAAAATGAAGGGAAGCTACTAAAGTACACTTGAGCCAACCAACAGAAGGAAAAACGTCAAATGCAACGGCGAATAAGCAACCGTGTACTCAAGAGCGAATCGCGTATGTCCTTAAAAATAGCATCATTGGACTCCAAGCGTAAAGCGAACGTCCATTTACAGTGACGGGCACTGGCCAATCAGAATGACGAAATGAAAGGTTTAAACAAAAGTCACGAAACAAACGAGAATAAGGAATGCAGACCCAAAGTTAAAAACTAGTACACTAATTGGGTGACAACTAAATATTCCTTTAACAAACCCAAGTAGAACAGTGATGAGAAGAAAAAACAATAGAACATGTTCTTGCAAATGGCGCTGCTGAGAAGGACATGACGATGAGCGTCCATTAACAATGACGTGGATGTACCAACCGGGCTAGTTCAGTATACCATTTAAACAACAGTCAAGAAATAAAAAATAGAAAGATTAAAGAATAGCTAACAAGCTCGTTCACAACAAATGAATGTCTAATAGCTGTTCTCCTAATAAAAAGAAAAGTGACATCGGGCACCCGCTGCAGATATTAAATGGCGGTGACGGCTTGCCATAAAACTTTACTCTGTCAGAACTATGCGCGCACAACGCTCCTATGATATTTACATATTTCTTAGGCACACCGGCATACGGTTCTAAAGGGCACAGGGCTCCACCGAATCGAAGGCACCTTTGATATGAAGGAACAAGACTACTGTAGATCGCCAATATATATGACAGTTCTAACAATTTGGTTACTGTGCAGATGTGGCCAGTGCAGCCTCGATTCCAACAACGAAGGAAACCAAAAATTAAAAGCAAAGACGTGCAAAATAAACAGGGAATATGCGAAGGACTGACAGCACTTAGAAATAATATAAGATGGCACCAGTCAGATCTAGTGTAATGCGGAACAAGCATAACTGTAAGTCACTCAAGTCCAACTACGTTGAAAAGTATACTAAATGCCACATCACCCTCAGTATGTGGCATATGGTTGGCCGCATCAAATTCCGGAGTTTCCTGTCACTGCGACCCCATAGAACATCCACAGGATGCCTATGCCTACTCAGGGATCATAGGTGGCGTGCGTTTCACTACACACCCCATATCCAGTGTGAACCCGAAGAAGACGGCGACGCATATGAATGAAAGCCACGTTTCATCAACGGAGCCGGCTCACGCTCCTTCAACATGCACAACAGCAGCATAGCTGTATGGCTAAACTGGGAATCAGGCGTACGTACAGATGGCGGTGGCTGAGGCTTTGCCCGTTTCACACAAAATGGAAGTACTCTTCAAGCTTAGCACCGTCACGAGGATGGGGTACCCCGTCCCCCAAGCAACGACCCAGTCTCAAGGAAGCAGTATACTTGGAGTGTGCAGACAGTTAAGCACCTTGTCAGCATTCGCTATAAACGCAATCACACCAAAAATATGAAACAATTAACCACGCAAACTGGACCCTGGATGTGCGGCAGTGTGACAAACAGAGCAAATTACAAAATGTTTGCTCAGTCTGATCTAGACCAAAGGTGATTTGGGCACGTGTAAATGCAAGTCGGGGGACAGCAACCGAATGACAACAAAGATTAAAGAGGAAAACGCGCAAAATAAACAGGGAATATGCGGAGGATTAGCAGACCTGAGGAAATGAAATAGAATGGAGTACTTTGGATCTAGGGCATTGAAGACAAAGCGTAAGTGTAAGGCGCGGTAGGAAAACTGTGGTGCGAGGCATGCCGCAACATCAGCCACAGCATGAGAGAGACACATGCCTAGATATATATGTGTACACAAAATATCCAGTTTGTATCTTTTTAACCTGTAACCATTTTGTACAGTTACTGATCCTTCATGTCTTTAGTATCACGAATTTGTCTGAGCAGGTGTGCCTGGCACTGCCGAGAACAAATCACAAAGTCATTCATTTACACCGGGAAAGTGCAGTTAACCAACTCTGTAGTGACGCTGTAACCACTATCTTTACCGAAACTGGTAAGCACACTTCCTTCAGACAAAAAACGTAGCGCGCCGTTGCTACTGTAATTTTGAGAAAAACAGTAGGTAAAAGGAAAATTTTTGTTCAACATTCGAATAGATTGCTCACTTCTGGGTCGTTGTTGCCAGCCGTTGTCATCAAACGGGTGTTGACAATGTACCATTTGAACTGCAATGCCATTTGCATTGCTATTAGTACCAATGTTTTCGTGAAGCTCTAAAGAATGCATCTTCCTACCATCCCAATTGTGATCCGCAGAATGTCTTAGCGTTGAAATTGTTTGGTCCAACGTTTGTGGAGATGTTCTCTCATTCGTTGCGCACGATTTGTGTTTTTTCTTGCGTCGTAATGACTGATACAAGTGACTGAGTTTCATGAATCCAAGCTTCCTGGATAATCTAGCACCTAATCCGGGTCCAGCATTTTCCCCAGCTGAAAAATAATACCAGAATGATACCATGCATGATAGATGGAAAGGTTCATCTACAGGTTGCCTGTAAAATTTCACAGTACTCGAACCAACTTTTGTAGTGGGTTTTGTGTGAATATGATAGATGTAAAGCCTAGTTGCTTTACATTAATATGCAAGATGGGACTGAGTCCATTACTACACTTGCAGAATCGGCCGTAAAGAAACTGCCTGTGTTTTTGCTTTTTAAGCCATTATGAAATTGGGTAAATATCACCTTCTTTTCCCGAATTGTCGTAAGCGCGTTTTGAAGCTTTTAGTTCAGTTAACTCAGATGAAACGCCGACATTGTTGGGGGGAGATAAAGGGTGTATCAGAATTGTCCGTGATTTATAGCTTCCAGTGTGAATGTGTAACATTTTCGAACAAATGACTACTTCGAAACTGATGCAGTTTTAATGATCACGGCTAGCGCACTGCAAGCCTGTAGCTGACCGCTACCTACTAGTAAATCGCAGCTGTATCGAAACACGCATCTCCTAATAGTGTTCATCATTATCAATCATGATACACGTTAAATGAATGTGGAAAACACAGTTATTGTACCGCAATAGAAGAAAAAACATGAAACAGTGGCACGCCGGCTGACTCACCAGTAACGGATGGACATCGTTCCGGAGAGCTAGCAGTCGGTTATTGTGCCGCAAAGAAGTCATATTATGCCTAAAAATTGAGATCGTGGTTGGAGGGGAGGCAAAGGGGGGAGGGACAAAGAAACTCTCAACACAAACGCCATTGGGGCCGGCGCAAACGTCATTGAGGTCCATTGTAATGAGGCTGGACCATCGCAATGAGGCCGGAGCGATGGTTTGCGTGCCCCAGAGATCCATTGAGCTATGCTGGGTGGTGCTATTTTGCACCTTCAGAGCCATGCATACCAGATTGGTCAATTGTTAGAGGCCAGACAAACTTAGCCTCCTGGCTCTCCATGTTGGGAATGGAATGAGGGTGGCTCCTTGTTCCTTAAAACGGACTTCCTGTAATCCACTGCCAAATCCGCTGCCTTGCGGTCAGGTTTTTGAACCAAAGGCTTTGATTGAGAACCCAAATCATTCTCCTTTCTATGCCTGGGCAACCTGACAGCATGCTGCCTATGCAATATTATGAATCATTCCTAAACAATTTCTCAATTACTACTCTGAGGCTATCAAAAATATAGACGTAGCAAATGACCCATGCAAATGAGATCGTATGAGCGCTTATCATGTACATTGAAAGTTTCCATTAAACAAGTTACCGTGGGAACATAGTGCTCAGACACAGTAGGTACTGGTTAGCGCCCCGTCACCAAATGGAGGTAGGACAATGAACTGCCTGTCTCTAATGATTTGGTAGGCCAGTAGATAGTGTAGAAATCAAAACCTTTGAAGATGATGAGAGACGAAGTTAGACAGCTTAAATGTTAGATGAAGCATCCGGTGTGATGGATCCGGTGTGAGGGATGGCTCAAAAGTTAATGGTGCACTCGTTCATCTACCTATTGGTGTGTAGTAGGGGGTTGTTTGCTTTTGGTGTAGATTCATCGTAGCTAGACTCAGGCAGACAGCCACTACGCATCCAGGAAAGCGCTCTCCTGGTTGTATAGTGGCTGTCTGATTGAATCCAGCTGCGAGGAATCACCAAAGGTTCGTGAACCTTGTATACCAATGTCCCTCGTAACATATCCATCGCAATGAGGCTACACCTTACCATGGGGCGATGGTTTGTGTGCCTCAGCGATCCATTGAGCTATACTGTGTGGTGCATTTTTGCACCTTCAGAGTCACTCAAACCAGATTGGTCAATGGGTAGAGGCCAGACAAACTCAGCCTCCTGGTCCTCCAGGATGGGGGGGTGGAATGAGGGTGGCACCTTATTCGTGAAAACGGAATCCTTGTAGCCCAACGAAAAAACCCGCTGCCTTGCGGACAGGTTTTTGAACCAAGGGCTTTGGTTGAGAACCCTAACCGCTCTCCTGTCTAGGCCTGGGCAACCTGACAGTATCCTGCCCACGCAATACGATGAATCACTCTTCAAACAGTTTTTTGATGTTCTGGCCACCGCAAAGCATGATCAACGGTGCCCTATCTGCTGCATCGAACAGGGCGGATAGGGTTCCGATGCTACTGCTCAAGCCTACCCATCTTCTTATTCCCCCTCTTAAGAATTTTCTCTCTCACCCTCCCGCTCCAGCTTCACTTTTATTCCCCCTGTTTTCAACCACCCAATTCTTGGCCCTCCCTCACCTTCCTTCGTTAGGCTTTTACCTTCTAGTTTCAACTCACATGTGAACGCGGAGCGTCATTCCTGCCCTGTCAACCAACCCATGTCCAACCAAACGGTCAAGCCCACTTCATCGACTTCCATTTGGAAACCTCGATCAACCTTTAGATTGGCATGCCTCAATGTGTGCACATTGCTACAAATCGGTCAACAGGCAGCAATTGCCCGAACATTAGAGACCCTCTCGATTGATATCTGCTGCTTATCGCAGACCCACCTGCAAGACTCGAGCTCACTGCTCACTTTGCGATCCCGTTCAGGTGACACCAGCAGCACTTTCTCATTGCGCCTATCCGGTGACGATGCAGCTTCGAGCACTAGCCAAGCCGGTGTTGGTATCGCCCTGAGTCCCCGGGCTGAAGTTGCACTGGTTAACTGGATTCCAATCAGTAGCCGGATGTGTGCGGTCCGATTGGCTGGCTCGTTCAAAGCCTCGAAATCGCGCCGGGCTAATAGGTGTCTATTCGTCATCGCTTCCTATGCATCCACAAACATCAGCGATGACTCGGTAACAGGCAAGTTCTATCGCCAATTGAACGAGCTCCTTCGCCACAGAAGAAACTCTCGTACACTGTTGTGCTGGCTGGGGATCCAAACGCTCAAGTTGGAAAATTCTCCACCGATGGACTGTATCTGGGCGGCCAACATGGTGTCGGCTGCCGTAATGATAACGGTGAGCGGTTACTTCATTTGTGTGAAGGTGCTCGCTTATTTCTTGCGAGCACTAATTTCCGACACAACACCAGCCGGAAGGTGACTTGGCGCCCACCAGCCTCGAACCAGCTATGGACGTAAATCGATCACATTGCGATAAGTTATTGATGGAGAGGCTGCGTCCAGAACAGTCGCTCGATTTGAAGCACAGGTGTGGACACCGACCATGCGCTTGTATGTGCTGACCAGCGTTTTTGGACAACAATTTGGCCGTACCTTCCAAAACGTGCAATCATCATACATCCTGCCTAAGCAGATAACGCCGCCATCAGGGCTTAATCACATATCGTTCAACTCCGCAGCTGTACTGAAGAGGCTGATTTCTCTGCGCGAGTTCAGCTCCCCGGATGCGAACGGCATTCGTCCGAAGGCGTTGAAAGTTGCTGTTATGTATTTGGCAAGACCACTAGCAATTTTCTTTCAACGATGTCTGAACGAGATACACGTCCCCACGATGTAGAAGCATGGAATCATCACGCCAATCTACAAAAGTGGCAGTCGTGCTGAACCAGCAAATTATCACCCGATAACACTACTGCCTGTGATCTCCAAGGTTATGGAGTCCATTGTAGCTGAGGCTTTGATGGGGTACTTGGAGAATAACAACATTGTCGTTCCGGAGCAGCACGGATTTCGCCAAAATCGCTCCTGTACCACTAAATTGTTGATTGCTCGTGCACGCTGGACGGAATCTGTGGACGCTGGTGTAGGAGTCGACCCGGCCTACTTGGATTTCTCAAAGGCATTCGACTGTATATACCATCGCATTCTCCTCCACAAACTCCAGAAATATGGAATCAGCGATCCTGTTCTGGGCTGGATAGGAGACTTTCTCATGCAACGTCACCTGAATGTGAGGGTTAGAAGCAACCTGTCAGAATCCATCGAAGGTCAGTGCGGCGTACCTCAAGACTCGGTACTTGGACCCCGCCTGTTCCTGGTTTTCATAAATGATCTCGCGATCGTGTTATCTTCTATCTGTTTGCTATTTGCTGATGATCTAAAGGTATCGCGTACCATAGCTGCAGTGGAGGATCACACAATTTTACAGGAGGACCTGGACAAAGCGTACACATGGTCCATCGAGAACATGCTGCACTTCAACGTCACCAAGTGCAAAGTTCTCAGCATACAACACAAGAGTATGCACAACTACCGCCTAGGACCACACATTCTACAGCGGGCTTCTCACGAGTGCGACATCGGCGAGCTAGTTCAAGATGATCCCGGTTGTTCGAGGCAGACTGAAAACGCATCTACGAAAGCAAACCAGTAACTCGGCCTTCTTCGCAGAGCTTTCGGGAAGTTTGACCCTTCAGTTTTTCCACAAATGCTTAGTGGGTACGTGAGGCCGCACGCGGGATACGTTATTCAAGCGTGGCAACCCTGGCTCAAGCACCATCTCACCGCGCTCGATACTGCACAAGGTAGGGCAACGAACAGCGTCAGAGGTTTGACTAGCCTCCACTACCCACTCAGGCTGAAGACTCTCAAAATATACAGTGGACGTTATCGGCGTCTAAGAGGCGATCTCATAATGGTGTACCAGATCCTGAGGAACCCCCAACCACCCATGCCATTCCCTTCTAATACTCAGTCAAAACACCCCGCTAAGAGGTCACCAGTTTAAGTTAGTCACGCAGTACAGCCGCCTGGAATGTCGGCGAGTGTCACAGCCTTGGAACGCCCTCCCGGAACATGTAATAAATGCACCCACCCTATCCCTTTTCAAACAACGCCTTGACGATACTCTGTCACATTTATACTACGTGCTATAGCTCATGACCACCAGATGCTGGCACTAATGCACAACAGACAGGGGATAAAGCCATAACCCTACTCGAGAATGAGTCACTCCAAACGCCTTGCACGAAATTTGATAAACGTTACTACTATATAAACTGGATTTCTGTACCCTGTCGACCCAAGATAGTTGCACACGAGTAAGAGTTGTCCTTGATATCTTTTTATTTTTTTCTCACCTGTT